AGACCTAAAGGTGGCAGGTTCAATTCCCAGTCGGGGACCATACCCAGGTTTTGGGTTCAATCCCCAGTCAGGGCACATGTGGTCACTCCTAACTGCCCTCCCTTACAGGCCTGGTCCCTCCCAACTGCCCTTCCCTGCTGGCCATCTTGTGGCAGCCATCTTGTGTTCACATGAGGGCAGGATCTTTGACTACATGGGAGTAGCCATCTTGTATGTTGAAGTGATGATCAATCTGCATATTACTCTTATTATATAGGATAGAGGCCTAGTGCATGGGTGGGGGCCGCTGGTTTGCCCTGGGTGGTGTCCCGGATCAGGATGGGGTTCTATAGCAGCAGCTGCCAACCTGTGGGTCATCACCCACAGGTTGAAAACCGCTAGCAGGGTCACCTAAGACCATTGGAAAATGCAGATATTTATATTATGATCCATAACAGTAGCAAAATTATAGTTATGAAATAGTAACAAAAATAATTTTATGGTTGGGGGTCACCACAACATGAAGAACTGTATTAAAGGGTCGCGGCATTAGGAAGGTTGAGAACCACTGCTCAACAAAGCAAGACTAGACCAGGAATGGGGAATGTCCCACCCACAGGCTATATAAGGTAAGAAATCATGTGGTCTGGCCCTGCCAAGGCATTAGGGGTGAGTTAATTAAGTGTTTGACCAAATGCAGCAGGCTAATTTTTTAAGTTGATAATTTTTATGGCCTGAGAATGATGTTATAAATATCCAAATGGCCTTTGGCAGAAAAAAAGGTTCCCACCCCTGCTCTATATATATTGATTCTTCTCTAAAAAAATATATGTTAATAAACATATTCTAAGGGAATATATGTTGATAAAGAGAATATGCTATTCTTTAAAATATTTTTTATTGATTTCAGAGAGGCAGGGAAAGGGAGAAAGAGATAGAAACATCAATGATGAGAGAGAATCATTGGTGGGCTGCCAACTTCATGCCCCACACTGGGGAGCAAGCCTGCAACTTGGGTACATGCCCTTGACCGGAATCAAACCCAGGATTCTTCAGTCTGCAGGCTGACACTCTAGCCACTAAACCAAACCAGCTAGGGCTATGCTAATTTTTTAAATATGTTTTTATTGATTTGAGAGAGAAAGGAAGAAAGGAGAGAGAAACATCAATGTGAGAGAAATATCAATCAGTTGCCTCCAGTACACACTCCAACCAGGAACCAAACCCACAGCCCAGGCATGTGTCCTGACCTGAAATCGAACCGTCAGCCTTTCAGTGCACAGGATGACACTCAACCAACTGAGTCACTCTGGCCAGGGCTGCGCTAATCTTTAATATAAGGCACATTTTTAAATGTAATAAGCCTATGCTTGTTATACCCAAAACACTAAGTTTGTGTTAGGCACATTTATGGGTAATTTTGGGGGGGATTCATCCATTTATTACCCTTTTCCTAGCCCAACGCATGCACAGAGGTGTTATTATTCTCCACTTCTCAAGATGGCTAAGTGGCTGGTCCAAGGTCACAGTGATGAAGTCCAGATTTTAACTCAATCTGTCTGACACCAAGCTCTAGTTCTAATTCTTCATGTTCCTGTTTACTCTTTTTTTTTTTTTTTTTTTTTTTTTTTAAGATGTGGGGAATGAACAAAAAAAGTCACTGACTGGACTCTAGTGCCAGCTCTCTCATTAACTATGTCCCTCTTCCCCTTCTGGAACCTCAATTTCTCCATCTGGAAAATGGGAAGATTCAACTGAATGATCTCTGAATTTGCTCTGAGCCTTTGCTTATCAAAGAAGGATTCTTAACCAGGTATCTTGGACAAAAGAAGGCTTGTTCCAGCTGTGCACTCACACTCCCCCTCTTTAAAAACTTTCATGTAACTGGCTTTACGTTTCAAATAACGCTAAAAGGCAGGCAATTACAAAAAGAGTTCCTGCCTCTGCACACTCTCTTCTGTCCCTGAAAGAAAACCTAGTAACCAAAGCCAATGCTTTCCAACCATTAGTTTTATTTCCTGAAATCCATCTGTTTTTCTATATCATTCATGTATGTTGCTATTTCTTGATTTCTTGATATAAATATTAGACATTACTTACTGATTTTCTGTTATGAGAAGTGAGGACTTTTTTGCACACTTATACAACCTTTTCCTCTTCTCATTCTCTTAATGTAATCATCTCCAATTTTTAGTTGTGTTTGTGCAATGTTTTTATTGTTATTGTTTTGTATTCAGTGTACTGTACTGTACATTTTTATTTAAACATCAACACTTTTCCTACCCCCTCTTGTGTTGAATACTCCTTATTTATTTTTCTAATCTACTCTCTTGTTTGGTGAGGCAAATCTAGTAGTTTTCTGATGTAAATTTTTCTGATACCTTGAACTTTTATTACTTTCACATGTGATTGATATATTGATTAGGTATAGGATTTTAGACTGAAATGTTTCCTTTCACCTCACTTTCTCCCATGTTGCTACTGAGAAGTGTGATGGCATTCTGATTGCAAATGTTTGTATATGGCCTTCTTTTCATTCTCTGAAACTATCAGAAACTACTTTTCACCCTTGATGTTCTAAAATTTCTCAACAATGTGCCTTGGTATAGATCATTTTCAATTGAAAGAAAGATGTTATTTTTTTTTTGACATGTTTTCTTCTATTAGTTTGTTGTTGTTTTTTTATATTTTCCTCCCCACCATTTTATCTGTTCTATCTTCCTATTCCTCCTCTTATTGAAGTTTTGGATTTCATGGACTAAATCTCTAATTGTTGTTGTTAATCCTCACTTGAAGATATTTCTTTCATTGGTTTTTAGAGAGAGTGGAAGGGAGAGGGAGAGATACAGAGAGAGGAACATCCATTGGTTGCCTCCTGCACGAGGCCCTGACCAGGGCCAGGGACGCAGCCTGCAACCAAGGTCGGTGCCCCTGCCCCGAATGGAACCTGGGACCCTTCAGTAGGTGGGCTGATGCTCTCTATCCATTAAGCTAAACCGAGTAGGGCATGAATCTCTAATTTTCTTTAAATAACTTTTTTTCTAGTTCCTATTATTTTGTCTTTTTTCTTATGTGTGCGTGTGTTTTTGTTGTTGTTGTTATTGTTGTTTTTTAGGTAATGTTCTACATTTCATTTTTAGGTTTTTACTTTTTTATTTTGATCCACCCATCTACTATTAATTACTAAAGATTTTTTCCAATTTTTGTTATTACAAATTTGCCGTTTCTGTTCTCTGCATCTCCGTGAACATTCCCATACTTCAAACTTCCTCTGAGGGACGAACCTACAAGCGAAAGCAGTGGGTTTGCAGAAATTGAGCATATTCATTTCTTTTTTTTTTTTAGCATCTTCATTTTCACTAGATATTGCCAAACTGTCTCCAATATTCCCATCAACAGCACAGAAAACTTCTTTGACCATTTCCTCATTCTGCTTTATATTATTAGTCTTGTTCATTTTTGCTAATCTGGGTATGAAGTGATAGCTGTTGTTTTCATTTTCATTTTCTTTATTTAAATAACTTTTAGTGTCCTATTATATGGATATTGGCTTGTTCATGTACTTTGCTCATTTTTAATTGTTACTTGTTTTTATCTTATTAATTTGTAATATTATAAGTAATGATCTTTTGTTGTTTCTATGCATTGCAAATATCTTTTTCCAATTTGAGATTTGTTCTTTAATTTTGTACTTACTGGTTTTTGTCCCACTTTCTTTTCTTTCTTTTTTTCTTTTTTTTAATATTTGCCCTGGCTGGTATGGCTCAGTTGGTTGAGCATCGTCCCGTGCACTGAAGGTCATTGGTTCGATTCCTGATCAGGGCACATACCCAGGTTGCAGATTCAGTTCCCAGTTGGGGTTTGTGTGCTAGACAACCGATCAAAGTTTCTCTCTCACACTGATATTTCTCTCTCTCCCTTTCTCTCTAAACCAATAAAAACATATCTAAAAATGTTAATATAGTAACATATTATCAGACTTTTATATTTTCTGTTTGATCAAGAAATTCTGCCCTTGTGTCATAAAAATATTTTTTTCACAAAGTTTTAAAACTTTGCTTTTCACATTCAGTCTCTATTCTCCCCGGAATACTCTCATGAAAGGCTGAGATAGAGGTCACGTCTTACATTTTCCCCACGTGGAAAGCCAGGTTTGCAGCCCGAAGACTAAACCCTTCCCCCAGGGTGGGGACAGCCACCGCCAACATTTTCATGTGAATCTTCTGAGCCCTCCCCTCTCTTCCATTGTCTATCGCTGTTTAAATTACTGCAATTTATAAACCATGGTATTTGCCCCCTCACCCTTCAGCAAAATTACCTTAGCTATTCTAGATCTTTTACTTTCATATACATTTGAGAGTCAGCTTGTCAAGAATACGTGGCTGCCATTTAGAGTGCACTCAACCTGTGTGTTACCTGGGGAAACGGACAGTTTGAGCCCCCTGTCAAGTTTCCATGGGAACAAACTCATGAGCATTTGGGACAGACAGGGCCTATCCTCCAACAGAGGTGACAATATCAGTCCTCCTCCCAGCTCTGCCGGGAGAAATTTTAAAAGCGTGAGGATGTATCCTGCAGCTACAGACCCTCACACTCTTGATTCCAAATGTCAGGAACCGAACTTGTAGATATTCTTTTAGGTCAACCGAAATTCATCTTGATTAACCACAGCAACAAAATCCAGAGCGATACCTAAGAGGGAGGGCTAGAACCCTCAGCCCACTTCCCCCAATGAGATGAACTTGCTTAATTTGGGGCATAATTACAGGAAGTGATTCTGTGTGTGCAGTTTCCTCTGTCTGTAGATAATTCAAAAGAAACAAGAGTTTGCTGCCTGCAAGGTGCCGAAGTAAATGAGCTGGATCTCATCGTCACCATTGGGCCTAGTCAATGCTGTGATCCTGGCTCCTTCTACATGTAAATCAACACAACGTCTGACTAGTCACCTGTGTAACCGAGAAGATCATCTATCCTGTGACCCACGGACTCGGTGCAGGTACCGAAGCCTCTGGTCTTCGCAGGGCCTCAAAGGGGAGGCACGTCAGTAACGCCTGTCCTTGCTGCCTGCCTGGAAAGCACAGCCATGCTGAGCTCTCACCAGAGCTGCTTGGCCCCTGGTCCCCTGAGAATCAGGGCAAGAAGCACAGGCCCACATGGTGAGCTCCCACACTCGGACCAGATCCCCTCCCTCTCCCATCGAGGGTCCTCCAGCCTTTCCTGCCACCCCCCCCCCCAATCCTCGGAGGCTCTACAAACCACATCTGTTTGTAGACCAGAGCTTTCTCTGTGCATTTACACACAGATGTGTACTTTTTATGTAAGAGGAGTATAATGTCTATATTACTCTGCACCTTGTTTTCCACTTAACAACACGTCTTAGAGTTTGTCTTATCCCAGGACATGTGAATGTATTGACTTACTTTTCACTACTGCATAGTATTCCTTTAGGTCAATGAACCATAATTCAAATTCCCACTGCCCCATTGATAAGCACTGGATTTTCTTCCAAAATTCACTTATAGGCAGTGTTGCATGCACATTTGTGTTCCTACCCCATTGTGTTCAGATGCATATTTCAGAGCATAGAGCTACACACGATGTTGCTCAGGCAAGTACTGGAAAAACATTGATAAACAATTATTTATATTGATGGAGCAGGAAGGAAAAAGAAACAAATAACCCAATTACAAGTGCAACAAATAGAAAACAGATACAAACCCAATAGAAATTAATCCAACTGTATTTTCCGGCGTATAAGACAACTTTTGAAATGAAAAAAAGTAACCGAAAATCGGGGGCAAAAGACCAAAATTGCACAAAAATTATCTGCAGATCTTGACAGCAAAGTAAGTCTTTTCTTTGAAGTGGGGGGGTAGTCTTATACAGCGAATATAGGCCTAAACCTATGTTTTAACTGTAAAATTAGGGGGGTCGTCTTATACGCCGGAAAATACGGTACATCAATAATCACTTTTTTCTAGTATTCTATTTCTCTTTTTCCTTTTTTGTTGTTGTTGTTGTTTGTTTGTTAATCCTCACCCAAGGATTTTTTTCCATTGATTTTTAAAATATTTATATTTTTAATGATTTCAGGGAAGAAGGGAGAGGGAGAAAGATAGAAACATCAATGATGAGAGAAAATCATTGATTGGCTACCTCCTGCATGCCCCACACTGGAGCAGCCTGCAATCCAGTCATGTGTCATGACCCAGAATCAAATGATGGCCTTCTCGTTCATAGGTTAATGCTCAACCACTGAGCCACACCGGCCAAACCTGAACAATCCTTAACAGAGGATCTAATTGACATTTTAGAATATGCCATTCTACAAAGGCAATACACACATTCTCCCCAAGCTCACATGGAACATTTACCAAAACAGATTACATTCTGGGCCATACAACAACTTTAAAAGAATATAAATCACACAAAGTGTTCTTACACCAAGTGGAATTAAGCTAGAAATCAATAACAGAAAAATAGTGGGGGGAAACACCATATTTGGAGATTAAATAGCTTACTTCTAAATAACACATGGGTCAAAAAGTACATCTCAATGAGAATTTTTAAATGTTTTGAACTAAATAAAAATGAACACACAACTTACCAACTTTTGTAAGATGCAACAAAAGCAGTGCTTAGAGGACAATTTACAATATTAAACGCATATGTTGAAAAGAAAGGATGATATAAAATCAATCATCTAAGCTTCCACCTTAGGAAACAAGAGAAAGAAGAGCAGCTTGAGCCCAAAGCAAGCAGGAAAAGAAAAAGAAATAAAAATTAGAACAGAAATCAATGAAATCGAAAACAGGGAAACAACAGAGGAAATCAATGAAACTAAAAGCTGGTTCTTAGAACATAGCAATACAATTGATACATTTCTAGCCAGAGTAACCAAGAAAGGAGAGACCGCACACAGTACTAATATCAGAAATGAAAGAAGGGCCATCTTCCCTGAGCGCATGAACACGGAAAAGATTGGGGCCACCCTTGTGTGAAAAGATAGGGCATTTCTTCTCTCTCTTAGTCCTGACACTAGCAAAGACTTCAGCAACCCACACCATTCCCCTCCTTCTTCCCACCACACTCTCTTTATCCAACAAAAAAATTATGTGATCTCTTGGCCATCACTTTCCCCCATACTTCACCCCAATCACCCTAAATTCTCCCCACTCTGAAAGACCCACCAGCCCCTTCTTTCTTGGGGGTCACACCGAGAGGTCTGCTCAGGTCCAGGGGCAGCAGAGAGAAATGCAGTCAGGGTGTGTTTGAAGTGCCTAGTTGGATAAGCTAATTTTTTTCTTTTTTAATAATGTGTTTTATGGTAGAATAAACATAACTCCTAGAATGTAAGAACTGGGGGAGATTAAACTCCTCACGTTAAAAGTTAGAAAAAACAGAAGCACAGAAGTACAAGGACAGACAATCCATACCTAAAAAAGAAAATTCAACTGATTATCAGACCTCCGGAGTCGGGGAGAGGGGAGAAGAGTCAACTTCAATAAACATCAAAGAAAAAATTTTAAAGTATCCCCATTTCCTACAACTCAGAACAACACTGTCTTGTTCCGGTTTTTTGTTTTATACTGCTGATGGCCAGGGTTCCATGAAGCAAGCAGTCTCAGGTGGCAACAAACAGTGGTCACTCTTAGGAGGCCAATTTGACTTTCAAAGCTATTTCCTTCTGAAAATCCAGTTCAAAATAATAATTCAACGTGCATAAAAAATATATATATTCCAATATGTTTATTTTTATCACCTTAACAGACATGTGGTTTTTACGCTTTACAATATCACTTTAAAATATGGAAATAAATGGTCAAAGGTACACACTTTCATTATAAGATGTAATGAGTGACTATAGCCAGCATGAGTGACTATAGCCAGCAATACTGTATTGTATGTTTGAAAGTTGCTAAGAGAGAAGATCTTAAATGTTCTCAACTCGCATATACACACAGAAATGTAACTATGTGAGGTGGTGAATACATTACCTATCCTTATTGCGGTAATCATTTTGCACTATATACGTATATTAAATAATCAAGTTGTATACTCCTTAAATTTATTCAATGTTATATGTCAATTACATCTCAATAACGTTTAAACGTTTTAATAAATAAATAATGTAAAATACAAACTGTTAAAAATATAACAATTAATGAAATAATAAAGAAAATGATAAATCTACAAATGTATTCTGAAAAATTACAATCCTTTCAGAAATTAACAGGTCAAGTAGATAAAAATAAAGAATATAGTAGGTTTGGATAATATATTTTACCAAGATTAATCTAATATATAGAATTTTATACTCAATTATGCATTCAAAACTATGCTTAAAGTTATATACAAATTCAACATTATTCAAAAGTTCAACACATTACCAAAACACACACACACACACACACACACACACATAAATACAGTCCATATTCTCAGGTCACAGGGAAATACAATTAAAAGCAAATGGGGAAAATCTATTCACCTGAAAAACTGAACACCTTTTAAGAACTCTTAGGGTAGAGCCTCTATAATAAAAGCCTAATATGCAAATTGACCAGTGGAACAACTGGTTGCTATGACACGCACTGACCACCAGGGGTCAGATGCTCAAGACAGGAGCTGCCCCCAAGCCAACCCGTGGGGGGAGGGAGGGCAGGGCAGGAGTGGGGCATGCCCCTGCCAGTAGCCCCACAGATCAGCCCTGATTGCCGGCCCTACCTGTGCACAAATTTCTTGCACTGGACCTCTAGTAAGAAATAAAAAATTAAAATTACATTCTATTTAGAAATCACTGTGTCACAATGAAAAAATAAATGTGACCTAAATGTCTAACTAATTGGGAATTAAATGGGCAAAATATGAACAGAATGTTATGCAGATATCAGGTGAGACTCCTGAAGAACATGTTACATGTAAGAGAAATGTAAAGGATGTAAGGATTTTAAAAGGCAGCCTGCAAACATGAATAGGAAATATAACAATGATGGAAAATATTGTATGTAAGTTTATGATTGAAACAAAAAATAATACAAAGTAAATGCACCCGGTGTTAATTAAGAGTGATTATGGCCCCGGTTGGGTGGCTCAGTTGGTGGGCCTCTCCTCACCAAAAAAGCTGTAGGTCCCATTTCCATCATGGTCAGCACACATTCCTAGGCTATGGGTTCCATCCCAGTCCGCCCCTAACGGATGCATCGCATCGATGTTTGTTTCTCTAAGTAAATGATAAACAAACAAACATATCCGCTAGTGAGATTTTTTTAAAGCAATTACAGTTCCATATTGCAATTTTTTTTCTTTTCTATTTTCTAATTTCCAGAATATTTTTAACCTAAAAAGAAGGCGAACGTTTTTAGATTAAATGCTGATATTGATTGTACACAACCTGAGGCAAAGAGGGATTGAGGGATTTGCTAAAATCACAAATTCGGTGCAGGTCCCAGGCTCACCTCCATCGCTGTGTCTAGGAGCTCGGGATTTGTATGAACCACCCACACCCATGCGTCCTGTCACCAGGAGGACAAGGCTGGGCTCCATGGCTTGCTAGTTAGTGGCTGACGGCAGGACACGTCTTGACCAAGGAGCTTTCATCCCAAGCACCACCAGGGTCCGCACAAGAGCGGGTGACAGCCGTGTGAGACCAAGGGGACCTCAGGGGGTCCAAGCGCGCGAGGCTGGACCCGCCTGGGACCTTGCTCTTCGCAGGAGATCAGGGCCAGACACTCCACCTGCCCCCAGGACACCCTCCTGCCCCCCTCAGCACCCCGACGTCGTCCGCTTCCTGCCCGATGCTCCCCCTGCTCCCCAGCCCCCGGCCCAGGGTCCCCTCCCGGGGCTGCAGGTCCGAGTGACGGAGCGGGAGGACCCAGCTCCGCAGACCGCGCCCGCGCCGGCCCGCGGGGGGCTCCAGGCGCCGGGCACGCATCTGGAGTCCGGAAGCCCCGGACCATCAGTGGGTCCCTGAGGTTTTCCTGGGAAGAGAGCTGGGGCGTTGGGGGAACTCCCGGCCTGGCCAGGGGGAGAGTCCGAAGCCGGGGCGCCGTCCGCCAGGAGAGGCAGGCGGTCCTCCTGTTAGGCTGCCCGGGCGCCTTAGGACGGATTGGTGGAGACGGAGGGAGTCTATGCCCTCCGCCCTCTCCTGGGCCAGAAAT